TCTTGCTCCAGCAAATAAGCCCCATGACCTTGCTGTAAAGCATTAATATATTCATGTTGTGCTGCCTGTTTTTCTTTCAACTCAGCAATAATTTCTCGATCATCAATATGAGCTTTGAAGGAATAGATAGCAGCTCGCTCTTCAATAGGAAAACAATAGACTGCTTCAATTGGTGTCTTCTCCTCGTTTCGAAACACCTGTGTTATTGTTACATCAGCAGCAAACGAATGAATCGTTGCTTCAATCTTCACATGGTTTAGAGGTATGTATTGCATCTTATCATGATGACGTCCTGTTTCTGTGTTAGCTTTGATTTGAAGCATGTTACACCTTGTCGAAAGTAGACAGAAATGAAAAACATCGTATGCAACACCCTTTTTATAGGCTCCTATAGAGAGAAAGTAAAAAAAACATGGCGGTTACAACAGAAAGAAAAAGAGAAAAAACAACAAAACATTCTTGTTGTGCAATACTTTGAAGTGACTCATGTAGAATAGGTTATGTGCAATCAATTCATTCAATAAGTAATGTCTGAATTCTGACAAAAAAAGACGAGTAAAAAAAAACTAGTAGTGATTCATTGGGGTAAGATTCATTGGCAGTTATATTTCTTTTCTTTAACATGCATCTTTAACTAACGGTTGGATATTTTATTCATATAACGATGTTTTGTTGGAGTCGCATGAAAACAAAAAAACTGAATTTACGTCGAAAAGTTGTTATCATTGGCGATCGTGGTTGTGGTAATTATTCTTTCTTTCACGTTTTATTCGAAGATTTTTTTTTTTTCATTGTACTATTAATTGCAGGCAAGTCCTCTTTACAACGAGCCATTAGTGGTGAACAATGGTCTGATGAATATATTGAAATGCCACTTTCACCCAAAATACTGAATTTTCCCCTGTGTAACAGAAACACTGTTTCTGTATTTCTTGTCCGGATTAGATATGTACCAAGACCGAGAGCTCGGTCTCGATATCATTGAGTTTCGTTACGTGATGTAGTGACACAAGTTTTCTTCACATGGATGAATATTTTTCTCTGCGAATACCATATGAGGCTTAAGGGGAGCTTCATTAAGAAAAGTTCCTCTCGACTCTATCTTACACTTTGTACAAACCAACATCCCGACCAAGTCTAAGACTGTCCGAGTGTCGATCAAAATTTATGTGTTATTTAGCTTTTCGACTAGACTGATCTAGGGACATATCAAGATTGAACACTTCCTCACAAAGATGAAAACTTTTTCCTAAGAAGAACTTCCAGAACTTTACGAGATCTTTATCTAGAGTTGCTCTGCCTGACTTAATTTATATGTACATACGACTGTACAGATTGATTACGAAAGTAAAATGCTAAGTTTTGGCCAGTCTCGGTCAAGCAATTGAAAAAAACGTAATCGAACTGTCCCGTTGTATACATATATAAATTAAGTCAGACCAAGCATCTATAAATAAAAATCTTGTAGAGTCTCGAGGATTCCTCTTGGAGAAAAAATTGTCTTCTTTGTTAGTGTACCTTCAGTCTCGGTATATCCCTATCTACACATCACTCTTTACTAAAGACAACTGTGATATCAGTTTTAGTTGTAACGTCTAGAACTCGATGTGGATCTCACAAAGATTTAATTATTCTCCTTCGTATACAGCATAGGTGAGCAAAATTGTTTTTAAGAAGATTAACGTACCTTTAATAACAATTTTTTGTAAGTTGAAGCACTGTCTCAACTCTAAGTTATGAAACTTTCCACATTTAGGATCAGGCAGTACAGAATTCATACATAAGAATTCGTATAAGAGAGAAGTATTTTATTTTTACAATTTATTATCTAAATAGCTTTGCTCAAAAAAAATATGAAAGGAAGAAGTATTCATAAAAAACAGCATGAGTAATGTCTCCGAAGGCAGATTGTCGATCGTATTATTGATATAATATAATCCTTCCATTATCATTATTTTATTTAACTAAAAACAATAATCAGCCATTTAAGTATGAATAATACTTTTTTCCCAAAGGAAGTCTATAAAGTGGAGACCAATTCAAAATATATTATCGTTTCGATAGAGACTAGACATTAACCAATATAAATTGAGCTTGAAACACTGCCTAAGAGTTGTATATTTAGAGCTAATACTAGACAACTATTAGCCCAATGAAACTTCAAATACTTTTTTGCAGGTATTCTACCTCTGAGTGGCTTGTGATCCTCATGGTTTGACTTGAGTTCAATACAAAAGGAATCACCACATTTTTTTGCATAGAATGGGCAATAAAGTGACTGAAAATATTTTATAGACCAAATCGATTTCTTATGCGTCTCTGTCCTTTTCTTAAAATTTGAGTATCGAAAACCAAAATCAGTCCTTATCTCTTTTTGCAATTAGTTTTCTGTCAATTCCTGTACTCGACAATGATGTTTGGCTTAGATCAAAAAATAGCGGAGATACTCAACCTTGTCTTTCTGATGAAGTGATTTTCGGACCGTTCTGTATTTTATCGAGAACCATTTGATACATTGCTTATTATTGAGATAAAGAATATCAAAAAAAACAATTCCAATGAAGTATTAAATATGTTTTTTTTTAAGTTTCTCCAATTTTTTGACTCCGGTTTATTTGCTTTGCATCGAAATAATTGACAAAATAAATTAAATAAGTTAAAACTTTAATTTTATTTATAAAACGTTTTTTTTTTCGCAAGAATAAATAGAACGTTCATTGAAATAATTTCCATTGCAAATAGATATTTTTCTGTACGCGTTTAATTGTATAATCAGAAAGCAGTTTTTTAACATCAATCATTTTGTGTAATTTTTTAATCATTTCATCATCTGCCGTTGGAATATGAAAACATAGTAAACGAAGATGATCATTATGTTCAGCATTAATTTTCTCCAAAATATTTTGTACAAATAATTCTACATTCATATTATTTATACGTCCTAATCGAAGATATTTCATATAAGGCAAAGTGCCATAAGAAAATAAACTTCTGTAATATCAATCATCTTTTCAAGATATACATTTGTAATTTTACTTGTATCTTCTGTTGAAGTTAAAATATCAACTTCTTCTTCACATAAAACTCTTGGTTCTGATAATGATAAAGAATGAAGTTTTAATGAATTGAGTTCAGGTAATAAATCAATAATTTGAAGTAATATACCAATAAAAATCTTTTCCTTTGGAATTTCAAGATAATAAATTTGTACTAGAGATAAAACACGATTGATATCAACAATGAACAATTCAAGACATTCATCAGAAGGAACAAATGTAAGAGTTAATCGATTAGATTTAGAATATTGAGTAGAATTAACATTTTTATGTTGTGTATCATATTCATACCATCGTTTTCTGTAAAAATACAAAAAATATAAATTATTCAATAAAAACTTCTGCTTAATGTACCTGTATGGACGAACTGAATATATGATTTCTTCAACATCAATTTCTGCTTCAAATAACCATCTTCGTTCAATCCAAAATGACGAAGTAAATTGATTTGATTCGTCAAAATATGATGGAGATTCATTTTCAAAATTAATATGTTCAGAATATATGAAATTAAATTTTTCTAATTGAGGCAAATATTGTAAAATAAATTGTTCCCATCGAGCAGCATTAAAATAAACGATATCTTCAGATTTAATACTAATATATAAGACTTTTAATTTGGAATATATTTTGGTAATGAACATTTCAAATTCATCAAATGTTACATCATATAAACATACAGTCAAATGTGTTAATGTCATTGGTAATATGTTTTCAATATTTGAATTATCATCTTCTGCATGCATAAAATATAGATGACGAAGTTTAGGTGTATAAGAAATTATATTAGAAAGTTCATTGCGCGTACAATCATGATCGAGAAGAAGATATTCGATAGTACTGAATTGTTTATTGGTAATCATAGGTAATGAGATTGATAAATTTGGACCACCTATTGAGAACTTGAAAAATTTCAACATTGGTAAAGTAAGAATGGTTCGATAAATATCAGTTAGATCTTTTAAAACATTCCACATATTGATAGTTAATGAAAAGAGACGTGGTAGAGAAGATAAATTGAAAAGAATAGATATAAGTAAGGTTCAGCTAATGCAAAATTACAGTAAATTTTTTTTTGAACT